AAAATAAAAATAAACTAGACTCAAGAACATCCTATTATTAATTTTTTTCATTTATTATCTAGAAAATTAATGGGTATAAACATTTTTATTATTCTATAATATTTTAAAAATGAAAACTAAAAATACTAAGTTTATTAAAAATTTTGATATTATTGAGAGCACATAGTCATGAAAAATGGAATTCCAACCAATTAGGATGCATTTTTCTTTACCCATAACTTTTTCTCAAGTTGTTGTTTCTACAATTGTTAAATAATGTGATAGCTTAAAAGAACAACAAATGAATAACCAAATTCCACATAATGAAATTATTATAAATGAACATATAGTTAACAAAAAATATGAATATGCATTAAGGTTTAAAAGTCAAAGAATATATGTTATTTCTAAGGATTGAGTAATCTATCTATATATGACATAAGTTTTTTTTTAAATCTCATAGCCATATAGAGTGCTATTTCTATTAAAGTGGTTAAACACTATTATAGAAGATTTAAAATCTTTGGATTATAATGAAGTCTGGGATTTGGGTGAAATATCAAAGGGTTCAAAAAAGTTTAAGACTATATATGATTCAATTGAAATGTCAATGATATAAGGCTAGATTTGTTGCAAAGAATTCTGCATAGAAAAATGGTATTGATTTTACTGAGACCGTTTCTCCCATTTCCAAAAAAATTATTACTTAAGATTTATTCTCATGATATTCATTCTAATTTAGAAAAAAGAAATGTATAAGGAGCAACTAGAAGATCTTCAATTAACAAACAAAATATTATATTTGTTTGTAACTTTTGTAACTCAATAATACCATTACTTCCTTTGTATTTAAAGGCTCATCATAAATTGCTATATTTAAGAGTTAGTGGAAGCATATATGTAATTCTAGTTATGTATGATGATATCTTACTGGTTACTAATATTTTAAGCTTATTACATTATACAAAGAAATTTCTCTCTACAAACTTTGAAATTAAAGATAAGAGTGGGGCATCCCATAATAGAAATTAAAAAATTTCTTGACATATTATAGTGGATGTGTTGAAACCATAAAATTTACATGTGGCTATTTGTTTCTTTTAACTAGGTTATCAATCTCATGGAAGAGTGTGAAGTAGCAATCATTATTGTTTTTACGATAGAAGATGAGTGCACATGTTTAAAGTCATTGTTTATAGTTGATAGTATAACTTTATTTAAGGGCATGGAATTGTTGACAATATTACCAAAGGCATTTAAAGGTTTATTATGATAATGCTGCATCATTTTTATTTTCTAAAAATGACAAATATTTAGGAGTGCTAAATATATGGAATTGAAGTATTTTTTTGTTTAAAAAAATCATAAATAAAGTTTTTTTTGTTTTTTTGTTTTTTGAGGAAACCTACATAGAGACTTACGCATTAATTAAAAAAAGAGTTACAAGTCCTTAAAAGATCAGAAGCTCATTAAAAAATACAACATTTGAAGAAAAACCTATGAGCTAAATGATTAAAGCTATTACAATCATAAAGAAAGACAACATAATAACAAAATGGGCACCAGAGGCAACTAGCTCCAGCAAATCCACAGAAAGACCAGCAAAACAACCACACCTAATAAAAAATTAGGAAGAAGCACCTTCAAGAGAGAAAACAAACAAAAACATCTTGTAACAAGAAGAACTTAGAAGGAGCACGAAAAGTTCACCACAAAAACACCAACGGTTAGACCAGGCAACACCTGAACAAAAGTCTGCCAATAAACCCCAAACAAACAAGACAAGGCCTCATAAGGACCATAAACCAACACCGTGACAGCAACCAACCAAGTATCATAGCACCCGAGTGCACAATCAGCATGCCAAGCCAAAAAGACACTAGCAAAGGAGAAGAAAAAAACCCAAGTTTTTTTTTTTTTTTTTTTTTAAGGATTTCCTCCACTTGTGATTACCAACTTTTTTAAAGGAACCATCCTTAACTATCTGAATCACATTTAATCCATCAATTTTCCTTTAATGCATTAATGGCACATCCAACTCTTCTCCGACATCCAAATTAGAGGCTGAATTACACTCATCAAGCCATTCACCTTAAAGCACCACAGTCTCCTTCGAGTTGGCACCAAAATGAGCTAGCAAATCAATGTTAGCAATAAGAGAAATAGGAATATCAATGAGATGGGAAGGGGATTGAACATTCAAATCAATATTAATTTCATCATCTACAATAACAATGTCATTAATAGGCAAACCATCATCACCCAACCCAACATTTCCATTCTCAATAGGTAAGTTTGAAGCCAAACTACCTACATGGAAAACAACCTCAGACCCCAAAGGAGTAGATTCAGAACCTTTATCCACACCACCTCCAACATTAGAACTAAGGAATGGAGTGGTTATCAGGTTAACTAAGTATAGGTTGGTGTCCACATTGAGATCCTCTCTATTGTTACAAGATAAAACCAATGTCAAAGAAGCAATTGACGGGCAACACCCCATCAATTAAACCAACATTATTAATATCCACATCCACCTTATTACTAGTATAAGAGTCATTATCCTTATTAACCAACATAGCTTTAATCGCTGAGATTGACAAAGCAAAAGTAACATTATCCATAATTTTCACAACACTGGGAGCATTCATATCAGAATGAACATTAGTATTAATCACATTTTAAATAACAACATTGACCGATGCTTGGACATTAGCATGAATGGGGTGACAATAACTGATCAAATGCCCTAAATATTTAAATTTATTACATAATGGAAGGAATTCTTCCATCACAACCTGCTATATGCAGACGAAATTATTAGGACCAAGCCACACTTCATCAAATTCATTAATATAGATTATTAGTCAAGCATATTAGAATTAGGGGTGTTTATTTTGGTTGACGGGACAAGTTTGGGCCAAATCAAAAATTGACCCGATTCAAATAGAGTCAGCCCAAACTTGGCCTTCTTAATAAAATAGGTAAAAAATACCAACATGAACTTTACATACTAGCAACCCAATGACCTAAACCCAACCTATTAACACATTTTAATTAAAATATTTTTTTTATAACTGATTCACTATAAAACTTAAAATATATTAATTATGCCATTTTCGAGTTAAATATTGGTTTGTGAGTCAATCCGAATTCAACCCATTTAATAAACAATTTTAAAAAGTCCAACCTAAACCGAACCCATTTATTGAACTGGTCAAGCCGAATCCAAGTTTTTTATGTCTAGTTGATGATTATGATCATTTATTGACAATCCTAAATAAAACCAATATGAAGCTGAATATGTTGACAAAAGAGTTGCCGGTAATAAATATATCAAAATAATGAAAAAATAAAAAATCATTCTTGATATTATGTTAAAATCATGTATTTGACATCAAAGCTCTTTTAAATATTATTTTTTGATATTCAAATGCATCCCACTTGATTATCCCAAAATATATACATAATTGAATTATGTGTATATTAACCTAAATTATTCTTTTTTAAAAAATATTTTGTTAAATGAGCTAGGGTAAAATTAAAATTAATGTTATGATGCATAGAAGAAGTTATCATTAATGACACATGTCGACTATGATTCTTCATTAGTGTCCTAATGATATTTATGATGTGACCATTATAAGAAAAAATTTTGCTTCTATTAAGCATATCGAGTTTTATTATTAAATTATGATAATGTCACATGATGGGCTAAATGGAAGTTTATAAGATTTTATTTTATGTCCCATCCAATTTATTTAATTATTGTTTTTATTTATTTAAATTAATAAGACAATTATGATTATTAATATTAAATACTAAAATAATATTGATTATTTAAAAAGATTTAATCATTTATGATGAGACAATCCATCATGAGGAGACAACCCTTCACAAGAAGATAATCATCACAAGAAGTTTTCTAAATAATCATTATATTGATGGAATGTGAAAAAATTAAATAGATCCAATTTTATCATTTACTTTCCCAAATAAAAATTTGATCATTGCTCACTAAAAAAATAAAAACTTTTTTAAGGAATTATTTCAAGAATTTTAGCAGGAAATTTAAGTGAAAATAATAATAATAACAGAAAAAATAATATCTATCAATTAAAACAAATTAACAAATATTTTTTTAATTTGTTACAATTTTTTTTTTTTACATATTAGACTGTAATTTGCAGAAAAGAATTCAATAAATATTTTTAAATATTTTATCACCTATATAAAATTCTAAAATATCCCTAAAATAATTGACATTATATAGAAGGGATTTGCATTCATAACAAAAAATATTAATAAATCTTTTAAACATCTAAATTTTATAATTTGCATAAATAATTCCTAAAATATTACAGAATCATCGATCTCAATAACCTTCATCATCAGTCTCATAACCCTTCACTTGCTCCATCTCAAAATTCGCATCTCTACTCACTAGAGATTATTTCGTGCAGAATTCAGATCAAAACTGCCTCCAAATTTTATAAATATGTGCAATAAAAACAATATTTTTACTACATTTTTATCGTTCACACTTGCAAAATTCGTACAATACCAAAAATCCGAACGATTCCTCATCCGAACTCCATACGTAATAATCTATCCGACTAATAAGAGCTTACAAATGCACACATCAAACATTATTATCGTGATTATAATACTAAAAAAAAACTATCACAAACAAAATCTTATCGAACTTTCACTCCATAAATGCATTAGAGGAGCTCACATCTCCATCTATAATACTAGCAAGTTCCACCAAATGTCCTCTTAACAAAATGCTAAATAATATACATAATAAAATTTAAATATTAAATTTATTAAGTCATTCTATTTTAAAATTATGTATTTAAAGCCAATTATAATCATAATTAACCATCCTAAACAAAATATTATAGTATTATAAGATGCCATTAAATCCAACAAAGATATCACCTCCATCCAAATAATTACTGAACCGATCAGAGGATATTTACTCTCCACATAATACACTCAAAAGATAAAAGATAGGATTTTGATAATCAAACATAAACATTGCATTAACTTCAAGCATTAGTTACAGATTACATCAGCATATAAGAACTTTAATTAAACAGAGCAAAATAAAACAAAATATGACATAGAAAACGGTAGAATAGATAATAATAATGCTTAAGCATGAATTAGAATCAAGAACTTCAAATTCCCTTAGGTTGTGATGCGTCGCCACCAGCTAGAAGCCATCGCAAGATTCGCAAGCTACGAACTGTGCCCATCATCTTCTTCTTCTTCCTCCTCTTCTCTGTACACAAAATGCTTTTTTTTTTTCTTCTGTTCTTTTTTTTTTTGGTTGTTACTTCAAAATTCCCAAAACAAAACCTCCATCTCCACCACCTTCACAAATCTACGCTTTTTTAGATTTTTAAACTATATGCACAGGAAAAAAACATAGAAGCTGCTTCTTTTTTAAGTTCTTCTGTTTTTTTTTTTTTTTTTGGTTATGACTTCAAAATTCCCAAAACAAAACCTCCATCTCCAGTTCTCCACCACCTTCACAAATCTACACTTTTTTTAGATTTTTAAACTATATGCACAGGAAAAAAACATAGAAGCTGCTTCTTTTTTAAGTTTTTTTTATTCTGCGTCACATGATGAGCTCAGAAACCCACCCGACATCAGGATTCGGGCTGATGTTGGGACGTTCCAGCCCGCTCTCCTTGCTTAGCCTCTCGTATATCTTGGCCCGAAGTGCCCGCCCAGACTCCACCCTCTCCACCGGCTCCTCCGTCTCAGGACACCCATCCAAATCCAGCCATCCTCTACCAACAGCCGCCGGAGCCTTCGTTGGCGTCGACGGCAAGCTATGAAAACCCGATCTAAGCCCAACACCAGGAGACACCAAGCCACCCCATGAGCTTGGCATAGAGTTCACTTTACTAATCTGCAACTTCTTTATTGACGCAAGTAACTCGTTCACCCTTGACCCCATGGGTGAAACCGGTGGAGACTCAGCCGGTGGTGACATAGGCGGCGAGATCAGCGTCGATGTTGGAGAGGACGACACAATACCCTTCGAAAAGTAGCCATCCAGCCGCAACGGAGAACCGTCGTACGAATCAATCCTCTGCTGCTTCTGATGCGGCAAATACCTTAGCTGCTCCGGCGTGTGCGCGAAAAAGCAAACGCGACGGCGGCATGCCGTCCCGTCCTTACAAGGCTGTGTCCGATACCTTGCTGGGTGAAGCCAACACTCGAACACTCCGTGTGCGAATTCGCAGGCATCGCCTCTTTTACAGCTCCCTTTGCGAAAGTCAGGGCACGCCACTCCAGAGTAGTGGAACTTTCTCGGATCCCGGCGGCGAGCCTTTTCTCCGGGATGGGCGTAGGGGCATTCGGTCCAGTCATGCGACCGCCCCCGCGCACATCGACGTACCTTGAACTCATAGATTCGAAACTCGTCGCATGAGTACGCGTCGATCGGCGGATCGGTAAGCTCTGCCCCCTCGTCGGCGTCGGGTTCAGGCTCCACCTCATTCGCAGGCAAATATCGCCGGAGTGCCGAAATCGCCGCGTCGCTCAGAACGTAGTCCCCTGCAGCGGATAACTGGAACTGATCGTCAAACGGTGACCAGGGCGGCACGTCCACCGTCGGATTGCGGTAAACTCCTTCGCCCATCATCATCATCTCTCTTTCCTTCGCCTGCTTCTCGTAGCTTCTTTTGTTGATTTTCGAGGAGGAGGGAGTGGAATATAAACCAGACGGAGACGGGTTTAACCTTGGTTAATATAACTTGGGTTAGCTTGACGGGCACGGAAATGAAGAACTGACGCCGTCTGTGGTGGGGAGAGGCGGTGATCGGGCGTTATTTTGGCGAGAAATCGAGCGAGAAAATCAGTGGCGGTTCTGTTCGGGAGTGTGACGGGACACGTGGCGATCTTGCAGGGCGGCGAAGCGCATGCGGATGGCGAGTGTTGTTGCGGAAACAGAGTTGCGAGGACACGTTGCTGTTGCTGGGTTCGGTATTGTGCGGCAGGACGATCGCGCCACACCAAAAGATAATAAATTCTTCGTTGTGTTTCACTGTGTGTAGAAAATTCTTGTGTGGGTGAATCTGGCGCGTTGGTACTGGGGTTTAGGAAAATGGACAGTTCTGATGTGGATCAGGTTAATTCCCGAACCGACGCCGTACGAAGCCGACCGGTGGTGAACCGGCTAGTTTAACTTTGTTTTTTTAGGAACCGCATGTAGTTCATATTATTGACGAATCAAGCCTACAGGTGATAAAGTTAGAATAGAATGTTGCTACCGCTGTTAAAGTGCCGGACTAAAATCTAAATATAAAAAATATGTGGATAACCCTAAAAATGCGTGGAAATTTTTCTTTTTTTAGAATTAAGTGCAAGTGTCTAAACTCACACATAGAAGTGTCTGTCGGGTTGGGTCAAACTGGCAACCCTCTAGGTCGGGTCCAGGTTTGAATTTCCGACCAATTTACATATCCGGGTCAGGTTATAGTTGTTCCGTTTGAACCCGGGTCAATTCCGGGTTCGACCTGAAACCTGATTTTGACACCACTACTCTCACATTCACTATACATATGACTCAACTCTAAAATTTTTTAAGTGATAGGCAAAACACCCAATTAATAGAACGACAATAGCTACATAAAATGTGTAAAAATACTAAAATATAAATGTGTTGAAGCATTATATATTATAAGTAACATTAGAAGAATATAAAATGTCGAGATTATTTATGCGGAGATCGGACGGTTAGAACGGTCCGAATTTGCTATATTATCACTATCCTTTTAGTGCGCTTTTACAAATCCTCGGTAAAAGGGCAGCAAATATACTATTATAAATGAACTTTTCCTGAGTATTTGATGTGTTTTTACGAAAGAGCAGCAAAAAATGTAGCTAAAGCGCAACAAATATGCAATTATGAAGATTTGTTGCGCATTTGATGTACTTTCGTAAAAGCGCAGCAAGTACTTAGCAAAAGTGCATTCATTATTGTATATTTAGTATGAATAATAAAAGCGCATCAAATCCATACGGTTCTCGCTATTCGGTCTCCGCATAGAATAATTTTTCTTAAAATAGTCATTTTCATCATAAAATTTTGGCCTTTAATATGGTGAAATAATATAATAATTATATTTATTATGGTCTTGAAGTTATATTAGCATAGAGACAATTTAATCATCATAATTATGAATGGCAACCCACCCACGATATGAGAGAAATAAATAAAGAGGGATAAAGAGGGCGAGTGACACACAATCGTGTAAAACTCTATAAAAAAAATCAGGTGGTCTTGTCTGATTGAAGTAGATTCTATTAGTTATAAATATATGTGTTAGGAAGGAAAAGTTATTATGTCCGGAAAAAAAATTGAAAATCCGGATGTATACTGAGCGATACCGAGTGCTCGGTATTAAGTTCTAAGTGATGTGGCATGTTGTTATTGGTCTCTGGATGTGTTCGGTGTCCGTACACAATAATTACTCGTTAGGAAGGACGACTAATTAATGATGAAAAATTGCCTAGCCCATGTTGATGGAAGATCATCAAGCATGAAACTTAGGTTAGGTTTGGGTTAGTACATAAGAGTTTAAGAATTATTTAAATAAATTAATTTTTGAATAAGGCTCCTATTAATTATAATTCAATTAATTAAATGTTTAAATCTTACTGATCAAGAGAGGATTTGATCAATCAAAACAGTTTGATCAAGAGAAGCATCTTTTCATGAAAATAACTACCGGTCCTCTTCTTACCTCTTTAAATAAGTTATTGTCTCTTTGTATGGATGATTAACATAAGACAAAGAAGAAAGAGGTGAAGGAGGAGAAACCCTAATTTCTCAATTCAAAGAAAGCCATGGACAAATATATGCCGAATCAAGGTATGTTATTCTATTTTAATTACAGATTTATGAAAATCATATACTTCAAATTCTTGGGCTTAAGAGTTTTTACAATTATTTTGTTTATATGATAATGAATATATTAATAAATTGATGAATTCAAGATTTTCTTTCATCCCAAATTTTCTTATAAGTTTCAAAGATTTAGTTACAAATTAAAGATTTTAAAAAGATTTGTATGCTTAAAAATTGTTGATTTTTAATAAATGATGTATTGATTTTAATGTATGTTTAGTTTTCTTTGAGATTAAGGAATGCCAATCATTTGCTTAAAAGAATTATGTAAATGAATAAAAATAAATTATTATTTTAGAATATTATAATTTATTTAATTATTGAGTTATTTTTCGGGACATGACAACATGTTTAATGAGATTTTATATCTTGTAAATATAGTATAAAAAAAAAGTCTAGATATTATGTTGACTTATTTAATTTATTTTTTATAAATATATAAGCATGATGATGATTATATATATTGAGAAAATTACATAAATAATGTAATTTCTATATATTTCAATCAACTGAAATACTTATTGTTATCATTATTTAATTTGATATTTACATTAAGCATAATTCGTTAATCACAAAGTAATTGAATTAAAATTTTTTGGTGAATGTCAAATTAAATTTATTTAATTCCACATGAGTATGTGATGCTAAAGATGAATGATATAATGAATTTTTTATAAATTCTATCATGAGTAATTAAAGTTCATTAGTTATAAATTATTTAAGGATCCCCCAAAGGTTGATTAGTCGATTTACAATCATTAGCATAATTGAGGTTAATTAATATATTTTACTAAATATGTTTTTTTATATCCAAAAATAACAAACACATTTAATTGAAGTATATAAGATTACCATTTATGTAAAATTATGTATTGCGAGTGAAATATGTTTAATTTGGTGTATTATAGTATCACCCAAAGAAGAACTTTAATATACATTTATGTGATTATTTGAATATTATTTGAATTTGTTTTATATGTTTGTGTTTAAAACTCAAATAATTAACATGTGAGCAATTGATCTTTATTTTGTAGCGTCTACTTTTGTTATTATACATTCACAAGCTTCATCTATTATAAAGTTCAATGGGCTTAATTTTAATGAATGGAGTGAACAAATATAGTTCCATTTAGGTGTTTTGGATATGGATTTGGCACTTCTTTATGATAAGTTCGTTGTTATTGCTAATATTAGCAGTGATTAACAAAAGTCTTTCAATAATGCTTGGGAGAGATCAAATAAACTTAGTCTGATGTTTATACGAATGACTATAACTGAAATCATTAAGCCAACAATTACCAAAATTTAAACTACAAAGGAATTTATGAAATTTGTGAAAGATTTGTCTCAATCTGAATCTGCTGATAAATCTCGTGCTAAGACGTTAATGTGTATGTTAACCATCATAAAGTTTGATAGTTCACGTACCCTGTATGAGTACATTATTGAAATGACAAATATTTCAGTAAGATTAAATGCTATTGGCATGAATGTGAGTGAATGTTTTCTTGTACAATTTATTGTAAACTTCTTACCTCCTAAATATGGTCCATTCCAAATAAATTATAATACTATTAAAGATAATTGAATCTGACTGAATTACAAATATGCTTATTCAATAGGAAACAAGGCTTAAGAAATAAGTTTTTCACTCAATTAATCTCATGGGTTAGAAAGAAATTAGAAAGAAACCAATAAAGAAGAATGTTAAGGGTTATAAGGGACATTTGAAGGCAAATGTGTCCTCTAACCAAATTAAAAAGAAAGGATAAAAGAATGATATGTGTCATTTCTATCACAAGTATGGATATTATTAAAAGATTGTCAGAAATGTAAAGCTTGATTTGAAAATAAAGGTAAGCCTGGTGCTTTATACATTTTGAATCAAATTTGGTTGAAGTTTCTTATTATACTTGGTGGATTGATTATGGTTGTACTACACATGTTTTAAATATGATATATGGATTCCTTACTATCAAAGCCATAAAGCCAAATGAAAAGTTTGTCTGTATGGGTAATAAAGCTAAAGCTCCAGCTGAAGCTATTGGAACATATCGCTTAATTTTAGATATTGGATATTATTTCAATATTTTTCAAACTCTATTATAAGTTTGGATACTATTAAAACTTGATAATTTATCTACAAAAATATTGATCACCTTGCATCATAATATTGATATGAAACATTGTTTGATTGATGAAATATCTGCTTATTTGTGGAATAAAAGATTGGGTCATATATTCAAAGAAAGAATACAAAGATTAGTAAAAAATAATATAATTTCTTATTTAGATTTCTCTTATCTTTGTATATGTGTAGATTGTATAAAACTACAAATTATAAATTTAAGAAAGCGACTACAAGAAGCATAAAAACTATTAGAGATTATACATACTGATATATGTGGACCTTTCGTTATTTCATCTTTTGGTGAAGAAAAATATTTCATTATCTTTATTGATGATTTTTCATATCATGGTTATGTCTATTTATTGAATAAACAATCTCAATCGGTAAATGCCCTGGAGTTATTTATTAATGAGGTTAAGAGATAATTAATTAAAAAATGAAAATTAATAGATCTAATATATGTGGTGAATATTAGGGAAGACATAATGAATATGGGAAATGTCCTAGCCTATTTGCTAAGTTTTTAGAAAAGCATAGCATATGTGCTCAATACACAATGATAGGAACACCACATAAAATAGTGTGTAAAAATGTGTAATCATACTCTAATGAATATGGTTTGAAGTATGCTAAGTTATTCATCTTTACTGTTATC